AGTTTACTATCACTATATACCTTCAATATAAACTTTTTTTCCCTTGAACCAACTTGGCTTAATTGCTTTATGGTGTACGGTTAACAGGGCAGTGCAACTAGAGCTCTTCGAATCAATCCCCGCTATGCACGCACTTGTGTTTTTATCCATCGTATTAGTTAGCACAAATCTCCACGCAAATCATATGGCCTAAAAATCGATAAATCTTTAACTGAAAATCTGTCGACAGATCGATAGCGAATTCGTTTCTTTTTCACACGCATACTTTTCAAACAGCTAAACAAAGTATTTTTTCATTCTTTTTAAAAAATAGATAATACTTAATTAATTATATGCCAAGAAGTTTTATGTGCGTGTGAGATTAGTTTCCCAAACCACGTGATACGTACAATCCAATACTACTCGTTGCTCTCTGTATCAGGCGCTCTTACTACTCCCTCCGTTTCAAAATATTTGACACCATTAACATTTTAGTACGTGTTTGACCATTCGTCTTATTAAAAAAATTAAGTAATTATTTATTCTTTTCATATCATTTGATTCATTGTTAAATATATTTTCATGTACACATATAGTTTTATATATTTCACAAATTTTTTTTTAAATAAGACGAACGGTTAAACATGTGCTAAAAAGTCAACGGTGTCAAATATTTTGAAACGGAGGGAGTATTTCTTACTATCCGGGCGGCATGCTGAGAGGGTGGCGGCGGGGCACAGTCCCCGCAACAATCTCAGAATCCGGTACGGGGGACAAAGAGGTGAAACTGGCAACGGCGGTAGGGAGCTCCGGCATGGGTGGCCGCGCATCCGATGTCAGCGTCAATGGATCCAGCTCCCCCTGTCTGGATAAGGTGCCCTTGCGCCGGATCTGGCAGGGGCCGTGGCCGGCACCGCGGGGGCGCAAAGCTGGCGTGGCCGGAAGCGGCGATCAAGGCCGTGCGTGGCGGCGCGATGGGGCACGGAGGAGGTCAAGCGGCGCACGTTGCTGAGCGATGCGTGTTAGACACGGGAGCTGGCGGCCAGAGTGGTGGGTGTGGTGGATTTGGCCCTCCAGTGGCTAGATCAGGAGCGGGCAGCGACAAAGCTCATGGCGAGCAGGCGGCTCCAACTACGTTGCTTCTCGCAACGGTGGCGGAGCTCGCGGCGACTGCAGACGGGTGGAAGCGTGGGGTGGAGTGCGGAAGCGCTCCCGTGGTCGGTGGCGGAGGAGGACGACAGCGTAAGCGATGGTTGCACGACACGACCGTCGGCGAGGCCGAAGGCATGGAGGCCGTCACCGTGAGGCCAGCGTAGGCGTGGGCAATGTCAGTGAGGCCGGCACAGATGACGCCATGGAGGCTGTCATGGCGAGTCCGGTGGCGGTGATGGTGGCTAGCCGATGAGGCGCACGACGAGCATGGTGTGATGGCTTGTGGCTGGCGAGCGCGGCGCGGAGGTTGAAGCGGTGTGGCAGCTGTGGTGGGCCTGCAGCGGCGAGGCTACAGCCATGGGAGGTCGGAGGTGACAGTGATGCGACCAAGCGGCTCGTCAAGAGCAACCTGGTTGAGGCGGCAACGCCATGAGGTGGGAGTCGAAGGCTGCGCCGATCTCATCTCCTGGCGTCAGTCCTCTTGCAGCGGTGGCTTGCCACCGCCAAGATGGCCACTAGGGGTGGGCATATTTAGACCGAACGGAAGAACCGAACCGAAAAGATCGAGACCAAGAAATTCGGTTATCTGTTCGGTCCCAGTCCTTAAAAGACCGAATTTATTTCGGACATTTCGGTTATTGGGCTCGGTTAACCGAATTAACCGAAATGACTGAAATTTTGGCCCAATAGACCTAGGAAGCCCAATAAACCCACTAAAACAAACCCTAGAAGTGATACAACCCTACCAGTCTACCACCACAGCCGTCTACCGCACTCCTCCAGTCCCCACCGCGCTGCCGCCGCCTCCTTCAGCCCCCACCGCCGCCGCCGCCTCCTCCAGCCCCCACCGCCCCGCTCCCTCTTCCAGCCTCCACCGCACCGCCGCCGCCGCCTCCGATCTCCGCCGCGCCACCGCCGCCGTCCTCCACCGCGCCGCGGCCAACGCCTCCGCCCTCCACCGCGCCGACGATGCCTCCGTCCTCCACCGCGCCGGCGACACCTCTAGCAAATTTTTTCGTTCCAAACTTTCTCCTCAAAAATTTTGGTCAGACCGAGACCGAGACCGAGACCGAATTTGCCGGTCCTGAGTTTTTTTGGATGAAATTCGGTCCTGAGTTTGCAAAGACCGAACTGATCGAAAAACCGAAGACCGAGACCGAATTTTTCGGTCTGACCAAATGCCCACCCCTAATGGCCACACTAGACGTGCCAGTGCCCCGGGGGGGGGGAGGGGATCCATCCTTCTCTTTCACCCTTTCCCTCTCCAACTTGCCCGCGTGGATGGATCTGGAGCGCATCGAAGGTTAAGACCTTACTCTGATGGCCGGCCAACGGCACGGTGGCTGCGCATTAAGGGAGATTAGCTGGTGATGGATGCTATATTTGACGGGCACTCGTTGACGCGGGAGAGTAGGAAAGCAATGGGTGAAGGCCTAGCCTCTGGGCCGGCAATGGCAATGCTTGTGAGCGTCGCTTTCTCCCTTCGGGTGTTGTTACACTTTACTCCTTCTCCATTGGTTTCTTTAGGTGCGAAGCATCTAGGCCCCCATCATTGATTTTGGTAATTAATGACAAGCGCTAATTGTGGACTAACTATTTTCTTGAGTTATACATTTTGAGTTAGGACCACGTGATATGTATGCATGGATGATCACCGGGGACTAAATTCAATGGTGCAAAGCAAAAGGAACAAAGATGGTAAAACTAGAGGTTTTATTTTAAGTGATCGATGAGTTGGGCGATCAAAATTTGCTAGTTTTATTCATAGCTTTGTCGTACTATAAAGAGGGGTAATGACCTAAACAAAGAGATGATAAAAATGCCACATTAGATCATTTGCATTTAGACTTGGTTCACAATTAAAATTGATTTACTTCTCTATCTAATGCCGGTCTGACCGAGGGCCTAATGCCGATCTAACTGGCAGGTGTTGGCCGGTCTAACCGATGGGACCTTGCCAGTCTGACCGGCTGGCCTAGTACCGGTGGTCGGCCTCTGGGCGAAAAACCCAAGCCCCAGAGCCACAGCCAGTCGGTCTGATCGGCCGCCCTATGGCGGTTTGACCGGCTCCCGTGTGTCTGTGCATTTAATGCACTGCAACGGCTAGTTTTCTAGCCGTTGCAAAGTAGTCCGGTCTGACTGGCGACCCTATGGCAGCCTGACCGGCAATGCACTGAGTTGGGGATTATGACCCACACGGCTAGTTTTTGTGGGTGGGAGTATAAATACTCCCCCACCAACAGCAAGGAGCTCTCTTGGCACTTGCTTCACTTGCATATACCCCTTGTACACTCTCTCACACTCTCTAGTGCTTGTGTTCATCCATTTAGTGTGATTGAGGGTTGATTAGCCAATAGTGAAGTGCATTTGATTCATTGTAGAGCTAGTGTGGCACTTGATCATCTCCGAGCCAGGTCATTGCTTGTTACTCTTGGAGTTTGCCGCCTCCTAGATGGCTTGTGGAGGTGTTGCCTGGTGACCTCTCCAAGGAGATTGTGGAGAAGGCCCGGCGCCGGTTGTGAGTGGTTTGAAGTTCACCACCTTCGGAGTAAAGGAAGAACTACCCCTAGTAATTAAGGCTCGGGTAGTCCACTTCGTGGGTCGGCTCCCACCTTACCCACCCCTTGACAAAGGGGGCTTGCGGTGGCTTCGTGGTTTTGAGCGGTGAAGTTGGGCTCGCCTCAATGGGAAGTAGGAAACCGGCGAGTTTCCGAACCTCAGGTGAAAAACTCCTTCTCTCTTGTCTCATTTGCTTATTCTATTTATATTTGTGCAATTTACTTTCATAGAGACATATTTAAACCCATATCACCCTACGATTGCAAAACTTATATTATGTGTGCAATTTACTTTCACATATACATATTTGAGGCCGTATCACCCTAGGATTACAAAACATAACTTAGTTTCTTAGTTAACCTTGTATCTCACCAAGCCTAACAACTTAGGTTAGTTTTGAGTATGTGTCATTTAGTTTTAAATCGCCTATTCACCCCCAACTAGGCGACATCACGATCCTACAAGGTGAAAACCATAACCTGGTTTTTTAGAACGGGCAACGACGGCACTCTTGGCATCGCCACCTCCTTGGAGGCGTTGTTTAGAAGATTCATTCGTGTTGTGTGCCTGTTAGGCTTTTCAGTAGCAGGATCAAGCGCAGACGCGTGGTGTGGTTGTATTTTCCTTTTCCTTACTATAGTCTCCCAGTAATGTAGACCTTTTTTTCTTGTTATATATCAATATAAACGTCATAATATCTTGTACCGATTTCACCGTACATGAATGTCGCGGTTGCTGTTTTTGATGGTCGTTGAGACAGATAGTTTGGTACTATCAGATTTCAGTTCCGTAGCTCCTGGATCATGATAGCATCAGTTTCATCATCAGTTGGTCTGCGATTTCATCGTAGGCTAATAAATAGTACTTCTTCTTCTTCTGTACCCTAATATATATAAGAGATTTCGATATTTTGCTTACACTGTTTGACTACTCATCTTATTTAAAAAATTTGTGCAAATATAAAAAGTAATTTAGATAATAAAATAAATAAAAAAATAAAAAATAATTCTAAATTTTTTTTAAATAAGACAAATGATAAATAGTGCAAGCAAAATATCAGAACCTCTTCTATCAGGAGAGGGAGGAAGTATGTGACATGTTCTAGCCTTTTGGAAAGGAGAATCTACTGTTTGACCTGAGCATCTGAACAGTGCGAGCCCCAAAACTGAAGTCAACCTGGTGAATCTTGGGAAGACAAATGATGCCTTTTGCCATGGAAAAACATTTCAAAAGTCCCCAAGACCGAAGCAGAAATGGAGATGCTACTACTGCTATTTGTCTCTTTGGCCTATTTTTAGAGCGCTCATGTCTTTCTGCCTCACCGCTGCCTCTGCCTCCTTCCAAATGCTTCGCCCCCCGAGCTCTCCTCGGCGTGCGCGGCGCAGCGCCATCCACCCCGACAACTCCTCCCAACCCCCAACCTATCCAAACACATTTTCTTGCCCGCCCCTGCAGCTCCCTCCACCGCGCCACCCATCCATCGCCAGCCATGCACACCCTCGCTCTGACGACCCTGTCACGTTGAGCTACGCTCGGAGGAGGACGCCACGACGGCGACCGGGAAGAAGATGAACCCGCTCCCTCCCCCGGCCAGCCGGCTGTGGGAGGCGAGCATCCGCAAGCTCAAGTACTCCACCATCCTCCGCGGCTCCGTCGTCCCCTCCGGCGCCGCCTTCGATGGTGCGGCGGCGGCGGCCACCGGAGGTGACCCCGTCACGCTCACCCCAAGCCTCTCCGTCAGCTCCTCCACCTCCAACACCATCTACCAGTACGAAGACGGCGACGACGACATCGACTCCGTCCTCGACGACGTCGACACCGACGACGACGACGTCGACGAGGCGTCCCTCGGCGAGCCCAGCCACTCCGACCAGCTGCTGCCCAGCGGAGACTTCTACCAGGGCGACCTGCGCGGCGACCTCCCCCACGGCGCCGGCAAGTATCTCTGGACGGACGGCAGCATGTACGAGGGGTCGTGGCGCGGCGGCCGCGCGGCCGGGCGCGGCAAGTTCTCGTGGTCGTCGGGCGCCATCTACGAGGGCGACCTCGCCGGCGGGTACATGCACGGCCAAGGAACCTACATCGGCGAGCTCGGGGACACGTTCGCCGGGCTGTGGGCGAACAACCTCCGGCACGGCCGCGGCACGCAGGCGTACGTCAACGGCGACGTGTACGACGGCCACTGGCGCGACGGGCTGCAGGATGGGCACGGCCGGTACATCTGGCGCGGCGGCCACGAGTACATCGGGACGTGGAAGGCCGGCGAGATGCACGGCCGCGGGACGGTGATATGGGCGGACGGCGACCGGTACGACGGCGCGTGGGAGGACGCCAAGCCCAAGGGGCAGGGCACGTTCCGGTGGTCCGACGGCGGGATGTACATCGGCCTGTGGTGCCAGGAGTCCGGCGAGACGCAGGGCAAGGGCGTGTACTACCCGCCGTCCGGTGGCCCGGCGGTGCCGTTGCCCCGGGAACCCAAGGAGGTGATCACGAAGCTGCTCGAGGAGCTGGAGATGTCCGAGGGGAAGACGGTGTCGCTGCTGCCGTCGCAGAAGGTGCTGACATGGCCCGGGGTGGAGCCCGTGACGAAGAAGCCGGTGTGGCGGCCGCCGGAGGTCGCCGCTGACCAAGGGATGTGGCGGCCGCCGGAGGTCGGAGCTGACCAAGGGAGGAGGTCGAGCAGGAGGAACAGCATGTCGTCCGACATTGACAGCCTGGTTGAGGGGGAGGACGGCGGCGAGGAGACTCGCAACGACAGGTCATGGGTGCGGACACCGTCGTGTATGCGCGCGCCCACGCTGCCGAAGCCGGGGAAGAAGCAGGGGGAGACCATCTCCAAGGGCCACAAGAACTACGAACTGATGCTCAACTTGCAGCTGGGTATCAGGTGAGATGATTTGCTTCATGTCCACTAATGTTATTACACATGTTGACTAATTGACACTTTTAAGATATGGTAATTAAGAATTTGCAATTTGTTGTCTATGACATGTGAGTCCAATAGCAAGAATCACTTGTAAGAATGACAAATAGTTAATTATTCTGTCATTGGTGTTTTCTGAATGCTGATGCATTGGTCTTCTAAATTCGATGCATTGACATTTGCTGTTCATATTATTTGGGGATACAGACATGCTGTAGGAAGGCAGTCAGCTCCTGCTTCATTGGATCTTAAATCATCAGCATTTGATCCGAAAGAGAAGGTGTGGACAAGATTTCCTCCTGAAGGATCAAAGCATACTCCTCCTCACCAGTCATGTGATTTCCGGTGGAAGGACTACTGTCCATTGGTTTTCAGGTCAGTATATTAAGATACTGTAATATATGGTCATTCTTTTAGATTTATAATATATTGACGTGCAAAGATTTTGAGATACTGTAATATATGGTCATTCTTATAGATTTCTAATATATTGACGTGCAAAGATTTTGAGTGTTCAAAAAAAAATTGATAAGTTTTTTAGATAAGGAAGGTAAATTACATCCCCAGCCTCTACATCCAGGATGCAATATGTCATTAAATGTACCGTTCAAAAAAATGTGTCATTAAATGTTCCTTCTTTATTTTGTCCTACAGAGAGTAACTTCATTCTCTTAACTGTTGCTGGAAGCTTCAAAACCTGTGTTGATTTGTTCATGTATAATTCACCACAGGACTTTGCGCAAGCTCTTTGATGTTGACCCAGGAGACTACATGCTCTCCATTTGCGGGGATGATGCACTGCTGGAGCTTTCATCTCCCGGTAAAAGTGGAAGTTTCTTTTATTTCACCAATGATGACAAGTACATGATCAAAACAATGAAGAAAGCAGAAGTTAAAGTAAGCTCCATTCTTCCTTGTTTAGCTAATTTAGAAGAGATTCAACATTTCCTGTTGCATTTATGTTTTTTTTTTATGATCAGGTACTTCTGAGGATGCTTCCAGCCTATTATAAACATGTTCGATCTTTTGATAATACTCTAGTAACAAAATTTTTTGGCCTGCATTGTGTTAAAATTACAGGAGCTATTCAGAAAAAGGTTAGCAAATGCTATGATCAATTGATCAAACTGTCATAAGAAAAATTGATGCCTGACAAATGCTCAGATTTTGTTACCGTTGATAAGTACAGGTTCGGTTTGTTATAATGGGGAATCTTTTCTGCTCCAACTATTCAATCCACAGACGCTTTGATTTGAAAGGATCATCACATGGTCGCACAACGGACAAACCCCTCGATCAAATTGATGAGACTACCACTTTGAAGGACCTTGATCTAAATTTCATTTTCCGGTTAGAGGGATCATGGTATGAAGATTTCTGCAGGTATTTTTGCTCTCCCCAAATTGCATATATAGAGTGTTTCCCTTTCTCTATTTACTACTACCTCCGTTTCAGGTTATAAGACTTTCCAGCATTACTCACATTCATATAAATATTAATGAATCTAGACACACATATATGTCTAGATTCATTAACATCTATATGAATATGGGCAATGCTAGAAAGTCTTATAATATGAAACGGAGGAAGTACTTGTACTAAAAATTCATTTGTCCAAAAAGTACAAGGAAAGTATATTTGAGGTTCCAAAGCCAATCTGTGTCAGCAGACATTTTTAAAAATATATGCAAGCAATCATTTGTTTGTTTTTTCGTACCAGGCAAGTGGACAAAGATTGTGAGTTTCTGGAGCAAGAGAGAATTATGGATTACAGTCTTCTGGTTGGCGTTCACTTCAAAGACCGATGCAAAGATATGTTCACACTATAGTGATTGTTTCGAATACTTATAAATTTTTTAGGAGATGCATTTTAAGTCATGGGCCTGAAAATACTTTTTTCTTGGTTACAGACAGCAGCAGTCCTGACAACGAGACAACTCAAACTGCTCTTGAAGATGAGGAAAAAAGGTAGTGTATTTTCAGGATGCATTTGCGTCTAAAACATGGTTATATAGGCTATTTTCAGTTAAATACAATCATATATGTTTCAAAAATGCAAACACATTGTTTTCTTAAAGATTTTAGAACGTGGTGAACTTTTTCATCTATATATCAGCTGCTATTCTTCAACAATTCGTTCATTCAAAAAGAAAGAAGTGCCACTGCTTTCATCTGAAGAAGCTCCATCTTTCAGGACACCACAAAAGAAGCTTTCACAACAGCAGTTTCTCTGTTCTACCTAGCCTTCTTTATACTGCATTAGCAACGTCTGTATTATATGCACTTTGAAAGTTAAAACAGAAAAATATCAACTCCAAAGAAGTAACACACTACTTATAATTTTGCAGAAAAGCACCAGTCAAGCTAGGGATTGGCATGCCCTCAAGGGTGGAGAATGTTGTGAAGAATCCTGAAAGCGAATCCCAGCTCATTGGCGAACCAACAGGGGAATTCCAGGACGTTATCCTGTTCTTTGGAATCATTGATATCCTACAAGACTATGATATCAGCAAGAAGCTTGAGCATGCCTACAAATCCATGCAATATGATCCCAACTCCATATCGGCTGTTGATCCAAAGCAATACTGCAAAAGGTTCAGGGACTTCATTTACAGGGCTTTTAGTGAAGACGTACAGTAAATACGTCATTAACAAAAGGGAACACTCTTAACTCTTAACTCAAGAAAGCATAACGACCAGCCGATGGATGTTTTTTTTGGCCATTCCAGGACTATTTTGTAGGTAAGATCATTCATTCATTATGTTGTAGATGGCAATACGTAATTAGTCTGACGGTTTCTGCCCCTGGTGGGTGTATAGATTTTGTACATTTCCCAAATCTTTTCATGTGTAATTACTAATTAGAAGTAGTGTACTTGTACTCATGTCAATTGACATGAAAAGGATGTAGGACAGAAATTGTTGACCATGTAACAGTTCTTTCATTTTTGTTTTACTTATTTCCTCTTGTAGCAAAATAGTTGTTATATGAGCAATACTTAATCAATTTAACCGTCCAGTAGTCGGTAATGTTTTTTTTCTTTTTAATGGAACTACTTACAAGATAATTGTAAATTTCTTAGTGAAGTTTTTTTTTGACGGGAAATTTCTTAGAGTTTATTAGTTATGTTACAAGATATTATTCAAAAAGAAAAAAAGAGTAACTATCCGGTGCTTCTATTAGGCTGTGTTCATTCTACCTTGTTCCCAACCCCCTCCCTCGTTTTCCGCGCGCACGCTTTTCAAACTGCTAAACGGTGTGTTTTTTACAAAAAGTTTATATATGAAAGTTACTTAAAAAAATCATATTGATCTATTTTTTAAAAAAATAGCAAATACTTAATTAATTACGCGCTAATGGACCGTTCCGTTTTCCGTGCCGGAGGGTAGAGTTCCCAACCACATGAAACGTAGTATAGTAGAATTAATCCGAGTTATGCTAGTACAATGAGTACAAAAGGTTCCATGCATTGCAACTAGAAGCTGTCAACAATTCAAAAACAAACTACAATGTACATGAAAAAAACCAAGTAAACTAGAAATTCCTACACATATGGAAATCAAATTCAACATAGAACTATGTACAAATCCTAGGAAAAACCCTCCTTCTGCAGGCAGAGTTGTGACTGTACAAAGAGGATCACCATCCATCAGGGCCATCGAGTCAGGCTTTGGCTCTACAAATCTTCAAAGGAGAAGCAGTGTGTGAGCTTCTCCCCCACCTTGTCCATCACCTTCTTCATCCATCTCGCCACACCAACGGACACCACCACAAGAACAACAATGTACGCCGAAACCCCGACGAGCAGTGCCAAGATGTAAGCCGACGTCGTCACCCTCCTGCAGCTCCCGGCGGCGTACACGCCCATGAGGCCGAACAGGTCCAGTATCATGGCGGCGTGCAGCGCCAGGAGCGCCGGCTGGGTGTTGCTCACCCTCTTGATCAGCAGCAACACCATTATCACCAGCGACGCCATGAACGACGTCGCGTTGCAGTAGAAGAAGACCTTGTAGCGACGTGCATAGTTGGTCAGGAGAACAGGGTCACCGACGATGTGCTCGGTTTGGCCGTCATCCCAGAGGCCACCGGGCGGGCTCATCGCGGCTTGGTAGGTGACGGCCGCCGCGAGCGCTGCGAGGAGCAGCAAGTATTTGGGGAGCTTCTCGTCCCAGAGATCGCGAGGCTCGCCGTCGCCGCCGTCGGCGGCCGTGTGCGGCAGCCGCTCACCGGCGTCCTCCTCAAGCGGCGCCCCTAGCTTGGAGAGGAGGCTGTTGACGAGACGTCGCAGCGACCCCGACACGACCAGTGCGACCTGGAACGCGATGCAGAGCAGAACGGCGAGGACCAAGACGAAGACATAGATGGACGTCTTCACCTTCCTGCAGCTGCCGGCGGCGAAGGCCCCCATGAGCCCGACGAGGACAAGGATCACGCACACCCGCAGCGCGTACGACCGGATTCCTCTCGCCGAGAGCTTCCGGTTCACCAGCAGCATGATGATGGCCAAGGACGCGACGAACGCCGTGGTGTTGCAGAAGAAGAACGCCAGGTAGCGGTGCCGGTAGTTGTCGTTGTTGAGCACCGGGTCACCGACATGGCCGGACTTCTTCTCCTGCCAGAAACCACCCGGTGGGTTCATGCCTGCTTCGTAGGTGAGGCTTGCTGCAAGAATCGCAACGAGGAGTAGGAGCTTTCGCCTCTTCTCCAGCTTCCACTCTTCCTCTTCCTCCTCGACATGCTTCTCCAACTCAAGCAGATTCTTGAGCCATTCAGGCATACATTGCTTCAGCTTCTCCCTCACTTCTACTCGCCATGTCGCCCATGTCGGAGACACTTCGAGCATGAACACCAAGACATGGATACCAACATAGAGAAACACCGGCAAAACAAGAACCGAGACGTACACGGATTTGGACGCCTGCCTGCAGCTCCCAGCGGCGTAAGCTCCGATCAGGCCAAACAAGTTCAGAATCATGGCGACCTGCAGCGCACAGTACTTGATCCCCTGCGTGCTGATCATGTTGCTCAAGAGGAGGATGAGGATGACCAGCGACGCGATGAAGGCGGTGGCGTTGGAGTAGAAGAACACCATGTATCGCCGGTGATACGTGATGTGAAGAACCGGATCGCCGGCGAGGTAATGGCGGTATCCGTCGGTGCCATCGCTTTGCCAGAAGCCTCCCGGCGGGTTCAGTCCTGCTTGGTATGTGACGCTCGCCGCGAGAATCCCAAGCAGGAGCAAGTACATGCGAGATTTCTTGAGAAGAAGGTAGGCGTCGCCATTGCCTTGGTTGGATAGTGTGATCTGCTGCTGATTTCGCTGCTCCAGTTCATCCAATTTCAAGCACTTTTGCAGCGTCTCTCCAGCACGGTGGAGCCAATCCTTCACGGGCTCGCTGATGAACACCATGAACTGGATAGCAATGTAGAGCAGGACGGCGCCCACCAACGCGATGACGTAGATGGACGTCTTGAAGCTGCGGCAGCTGCCGGCGGCGAAGGCGCCCATGAGCCCGACCATGGCCGCGCCCACGCACACCCAGAGCGCGCTCGACCTGAACCCGTGGCGCGACACGGTCCTGCTCATGAGCAGCATGATGGTGACCAGCGACGCGACGAACGCCGTGGTGTTGAAGTAGAAGAACACCATGAATCAGTACGGGTGGTTGCCGCGGAGCATGGGGTCGCCGGCGAGGTGCTGGTTCTCAAGGCTGCCTAGCCAGAATCCGCCCGGCGTGCTCAGCCCGGCTTGGTACGCCACGGTCGCCGCCAGAGTCGCGAAGATGAGCAGGTACTTGCGCGCGCGCTCCACCCGCTCCGGCGCGTCCGGCGCGCTCACCTGCGCCGTCGTCAGCCCGTAGAGCAGGACATGGGCGGAGACGTAGGAGCAGACCAAGATGACGAGAACGAGGATGTAGGCGGACATGGCCGCCTCCCTGCTGCTGCCGGCGGCGTAGGCCCCCATGAGGCCGAACATGTCGAGTATCATCGCGGCCTGGAGCGCGCGCAGCCACCACCGGCGGCGGCACAGGAAGCGGACGAGGAGGAGGTTGACGATGACGAGGGAGGCGACGAACGCGGTAGCGTTGCAGTAGAAGAAGGCCTTGTAGCGGCCAGGGTAGGTCTTCTGGAGCACCGGGTCGCCGGCGAGGAGCTCGCCCACGTTGTCCGTCCAGAACCCGCCCGGCGGGTCCAGCCCCGCCGTGTAGGTGACCGTGGCGGCGAGCGTGGCCAGAAGCAGGACGTACTTGCGGAGCTCCCAGAGGAACTCCGCCTCCTCCGCTGCCGGTGAGGTGGCCGGCGCCGGAGCTCGCCGCCAGGCGTCACCGTCAACCATTAGTACCCTCATACGCGTATAAATCTGAAGTATTTGCTTTGCTAGTCAGGTGCTTGTTTTCTTGAACTTCACTAGCAAATTATGCTGATTTATTAGCGATCATTCCCGCGTTTGGGAAATTTCTCGCCGCGTCTGCGTCGCGTCGGGAAGAATTCATGCAAATTTCCAGACCTGACAGGATTCCCCGCCATTTTGTCCCTATCGGGGACGGCGGCGACTGCAGAGTAAACTGCTCGCTCGTTTATAATACTTCATAGTAGTAGATAGTACGGTGGTAGTAGTGGACTAGTAGTGCTGCCTCCATGGACTCCGGCCGGTAGGTGGCAGCAACAAATCCCCGGAAATTCGCGCGTCGCTGCACACAAGCGTTCTTCGCAGTCCAGTCGATCGAGTCACTCGCCGTGTCTTCACTACCAGATGGCGTGGTGATGTACTGAGAAATTGCGACTGCGCTGCGCGGCTGCGCGTTGCGATTTCTCTGTAGTTGTTGGGATTGCGTCCGCGTCGCGCGGTGGATTTCACGCCAAATTCCCAGAAGAGTAGTGGACTGCAAGACCGATTCTGTGAGTGGCATGTGCTGATTTCGTCGCGGCAAGGACTAGGAAAGCCCGAGGACGAGGACGACGAAGACTAGTAGATACAGTGTGGGGTTTGTTAGTGTTGACTGCATTGACTGACTCGTTCACACTTCACACAACACACACTTACTTTCCACGTCATGGTGCAACAGAAATTTCTTTCCTTGGTTCAGATAAAAAACTGTTCCTTTTTTTTTCTGCTTTCATGTTAGTGTGTAGTTTGTGGGAAAACTGTTTTAAACACTCAGGTGGACGTCCATCCGTTTTTTTCATGTCATCTAAATGGTTATAAAAAATTTTCAAAAAAATTAACATGATAGTTTAACATGTAATATATCATTTCACAAACATGCAAGTTCAAATTCGACTTCTACAAGTTATAACAAAAATAACAAATTTGACTATGAATATACGTATACTAGTTAGAGTTTAATTTGTTATTTTTGTTACAACTTATAAAAGTCGAATTTAAACTTGCATGTTTGTGAAGTGATATATTACATATTAATATATCTTGTAATTTTTTTTGAAATTTTTTCATAATCATTTAGTTGACATGCAAGAATCGGGTAGATGTCTACCCGAGAGATTAGAATCCATCTTCTTTACTCTTCACTAGTTGGGCTCCATATACCTGGTTCATACTCCCAGCAGTAAATCTGACAACCCAGTCTGTTCTTCGATTGAAGTACAAATGTTTCATCTCTATGTATTTATTTCAGATAATCTTGCAGATATTAGTTATAAACATATGTTTCATATTTTTTAGCATATGTGACTGGTTAAACATACAACAATAATGTTCAGAAAGGGTAGAGTTCGCACATACCACTGAAACATGAATCAAAGAAGGCAATGGGGTTCGGAGTTTTGATCTCCGACCGCTAGTGCCTATCCTATTTTTGGGGATGGGGTCTTCTTTTTTAATGAGGTTAGAGAATATAAAATTAGAAAACGAATTTACTGTAACAAACAAATATTTTCAACTACTAATGTTAATTGTTCTATCTGAGGTTAGAGAATATAAAATTAGAAAACGAATTTACTGTAACAAACAAATATTTTCAACTACTAATGTTAATTGTTCTATCCTAGATTTACATTGCATAAACTTCAATAATG